CCTTCTTATTTTCATGACCAAGGAAAATGAAGTTGAGGGCAGCAATGTGATTTGCAAAAGAGAACTCAGAGAAACAGAGCTGGGATTTGAATCCATGACTTTTGACTGTAGATCCCCTTTTTCCACCCTACGAGTAGAAACTCTTGTTACCAGGCCACATGTCTTTCTCACTGATTGAAAAGATCCAAACCCTCCGAAACTCAGAATTAAGTAAAGAACATCTCTCTCCAAGAAGCTGAAAGACTGGAAGCTCCTTGAGAGAAAGATGGGATTGTCTCATTACTTGTATTTAGTGTCTGGCACAGTCAAAGCTTAAAAAAAAAATGCATAGAGCCCTTACTTGGTTTCCTGATGGACCAGGGGACCAGCTGGAAAAGTAATGATGTTGATCAACTCCTGTGGTTAGCAGGAGGCAACTTACAAAAACAACAGCAAACTCTTACAAATGGCTCATCTCAGTTGACCATTTGGCTTCCCTGCTGGGTGTGGTATTTGGCCAGCCACTCCAATAGATGCCCCATAACCTGAGGGGCATGAAGAGGGAAGAGGACCCTCCCTGCCCTTGAGGAACTTATAATCAAAGGCAGAGGACACAAACACAAATAAATACATGTGAACTCAAGGGACCAACGGGTGTAAACACAGATAAATACGCAGCTACAGCCTGGAGAAACACACACATGTCATGTGAACGGAACCGGGGATAGGAGGAACAAGAGAGGAAGATCATAACAAAATGAGGCTGCGTGGTCTGGTGGAGGGAATACTAGAAAGAGAGACCATTGGTTCAGCTCTGGCTTTGCCGTTTGTTGGCTATGGGACCTCTCTGGGCTTCCGTTTCCTCCTCTGCAACATGATGGGGTTGGACTGGACTCTCCCTATCATCCCTTCTATCTCTAACACTACAATGTCACGGAAAAGAGAAAGACACAAAGAATTGGAAATAAAACGAGCACAGGAGAAACAAGGAGCACTAGATTAACTCTACCAAGGGTAAATCCCCAAAGCCAGAAGTCAATACATTCCATCCCTGATGAGTCTCCCTGGGAATCTTCCCACCCCGCTACTATTTTTCCTCTGTGAGTAACGGCTACCTTGTTTCAGTGGTTTCCATGACCTGCTCGTCCGTCCCTTCAACGGCTGCTGATGGATTGTGCCATATTCCATGGTTCTTTCCAACTGTTCTGAGCCTCCTGCATCTGAATTCAAAGAAGGGGAGCAGAAGCAGCTGGAAGAGAGAAACCAGAGTGGCAAAGTCCAGCAGCAACCTTTGGAAGAACCATTCAAACTGGCTGGGGGGGACCAACCTGGGCTGGGCTCCTGCTCCATTTCCCAAGCAAGAAAAGCTCAGGGTTGCCTCACCGATCTTCAAATGACAAACCTCCAAAGAGAACCCAACAATGGGTTCTGTGGTTGGGAAGGTGGCATTGAATAGTCAAAGGAGGTTGTCTTGGAACTCATGCACAGTTTGAACCCGGGTTCTCTGATTCAAGAGCCAGCCCTCCTGTAATATATTATACCACACTGCCTCCTTAGCCTAATGGGCAGGAACTTTGTGTCCAGGCACTAGGAGAGTGCCTGACACCCAGTAGGTCTGCAATAGATGCTTGCTGAATTCAAGTGGAAGAAGTCAATAATGAATCGGTCCTTCTATTGATCATAATAGAAACAGATGGTCAAAGCGTCTATTGGGAGCTTTCATTTATGGTATCTTTTAATTCATGTCTGGGCCTATTTCACTGACCCTGAATTCTCTGAATTCTGGGGGAAATGGGTTCTCCCTTGGGTTCCTAAAAATCATGCTTAGAATGACTTTATAATCAATGGTCAGTTTCCACCCTGGGGATGCTTATGAATCCGCATTGATTGACACAACCCAGTTTATAGAATTTAAAGTAACAAATGATAAGAATTTTAAAACAGTCATCAATCATTTCCCAGAACCTGCCAGCAACAATACAACTACAGAGAAAGAAATCAGATCACTTTTTAGAATCCTATCAGTCTTAGAAGAGTACTATTGAGTACACCAGCTCAACAAGAGAAAGTAAGGGTTCACACCAACCTGATGTACTTTGAACACATGGCTTTCATTGGTAAACTGAGGCTCCCCTGATATAAAAGCACCTCCAAGCACTTCTTCCCTGCTGTATTTTTAAACAATGTGCCAAAAGATGCAGGAGCTGCTGGAGACTGGGGAGGTCAAAGTCACTCAAAAGCCACTCACTGTGGCCACTCAGATGAGGGTTCAACATATTGAGTTGGCTCTAAAACACCAGAAGCTGGTGGTGTTGGACAAAATACTTTTTGTACCACAAAAGAAACAGGACAAATACTTTTGGGTCCCTGCTACCAAGCACAAGAAAATCTAAGCAAACACATTTTTTTTCCTTCCAGTCACATCCAATTTAGTCACAGCAGTACAAACAAAGCACAAGAAATTGGGGGAGATGGGAAAACCCTATGAGGCAACAGGACTTAATGGATTAGTGGGATCACTTGAGGGCATGTAGCAGTTTATGAAATGTGATTTGATGGAAGAAGAGATTGTGTTCAGACATTTTAGGATACTGGATGGCTTTTGGATTTGCTGTGTGTTGGGATGTCCGAGGGGGCACCCCAAAATGAATGGAAAAGCAGAGTTTCACAAGATAAGGAAAATGGGGGGTTGGTATGGAGAAGTGGGAAGGTGCCTGATTAAGGCTTTAATGATCATAGAACCAGCAGAGGCCTCACAGGCCATATACTACAGAAACTCTTGGCCTCACTTGTGCCCTGGACCCCTCTGGCAGCAGCCTGATGAAGCCTAAGGGCCCCTTTCCAGAATAATGCTTTTAAATGCATAAAACACATAGGATTACAATAGAAACCAATTATGTTAAAACACGACAAATAAAATATTTTTTCTTTACCACTCCACAAGTTCCTGGAACCCAGATTGGGAACCCTTGATTTATTCCAACCTCCTCATTTTTACAGATTAGGAAACTGAGGACCAAAGAAGACTTAAGTAGCCAAAAGCAGAATTTGAACTCAGGTCTTCTGACCCTAAATGCAGTGTTTCTTCTACTGTACCATACCACTCTTGATTCGGCTTCAAATCCTGGCTTTGCTACTTATTACCATTAGAATCTAAGCCCCTGTTAGAATATAAATTCTTCATAAATAGGGATCATTAAACTTATTCCATCTGTCTCTTCAGTACCTAGTACACACCAGCACTTGGTAGGCACTTAATAAATGCTTGTAGATTGATTGCTTGGGCCACCTTGAAAGAACAAATTACTTAATCTCCCTGGGCCTCAGTTTCCTCATCTGTAAAATGTGATGGCCTCTAAGGCCCCCTTAAGTTCTTGACTTATATAACCTTAGTGCTTCTCTGAGCCTCTATTTTCCCATGTATCATATGAGAGGGTTGAACTGTATGACCTCCGTGGTCCCTTCCAACTTTAATTCTATATATAAATATCTCTACAATCAAATTTGGGAAACAGGAGGCCTGGAAATCTTCTGTAACAAATTAAGGGAGATTTGAATGGTATTTATTATCAAATACATTTAGACCATTTAGATCAGAAGTTTTTAACTTTCTTTGTGTAGTGGACCCCTTTGGCAGTCTGGGGAAACCTATGGTCCCCTTCTCAGAATAATGGTTCTAAATAATTGAAGGAAATGTTCGATTGTAGTTACAGCTTAGTAAACATTAAAGATGTCATTTTTTTCTCATCCAAATTCATGGACCCACAGAAATCTGCTGATGGATCCTCTCCCCAAGAAGACTGTGAGCTCCTTGAGAACAGCAATTGTTTTTTGTCTTTTTATATATCCTCAGCATTCAGCACAGTGCCTGGCACATAGTAGGTGCTTAAAAAATGTTTATTGATTGTTGACTGGCAGGTTAAGAACCATTGATTTAAATATTTACAAATGTAAAAACAAGTGCCCCAATGGTTAGGAACCACAATGTAGGACAGCAGATGAGAAATGAAGACCTGGCATAGAATTACTGGCTAAAGAACATAGGGCTAAGAAAAGAGCCATCAGGGTCTGAACTTGTGAAAGGAAGGAAGGCTTTGCACTACAGTCATCAAGGATGGAAAGGAACTGTGTTTTTTGTTTAGTTGTTTTCAGTTGCGTCCAACTCTTCATGACTCCATTTGGGATTTTCTTGGCAAAGATACTGGAGTGGTTTGCCATACCCTTCTCCAGCTCATTTATGATGAGGAAACTGAGGCAAACAGGGTTAAGTGACTTGCCCAGGGTAGCTAGTAAGTGTCTGAGATCAAATTTGAACTCAGATCTTCCAACTCCAGGCCTGATGCTCTAACCACTTCCTCACTTAGCTCCCCAAAACTGTCTAAGACTTAAAAATAACAAACAAATCAGAAAGTGAAGAAATAAAAATCTGATTCACAGCCAAATATATAATCCATAGGCTTGCTTGCAATCATACTTCCTCAGACAACAGAACATTAAATGCACACCAGTATAAAGAAGACCATGTGTCCACAATTTGAAGGAATTGGGGAGAATCTCAGAAGCAAGGTTCTGTGGGCTGATGGAAAGGGGCCATTTTCATGGCTGACACAGCATCATAGTTAGAAATGCATAAACAAGTGTAAGATCCGTGATTTCTGCAAGGTCAAGGAATTTGCCAGTGCGCAGGGTCATCAAGGCAAGGCTGCAAGCCATCTATGACTTCTGAGAGAAATCCTACTCGAGGCCCCCAGGGTTAAGTCACTGCCCCAAGGTCATAGAACTAATAAGGGCTAGAATTCAGACTTAAATCCAGGTCTTCCTGACCTATAAGCCTATCACTTTCTCTACCATGTTGCCTCTAAAAACTAAAATAAAATTTCATCAGGAGAAGTTGAGGGAATGTGGACTACACAGGAAGACTCTGGCTTCAAGGACCAGCTCTATCTATCTTCTAAGGTACCTCTGGAGATTCACCACATCAGCTGAGTCACAGTTTACCACTATAAATTCAATCAAGTTACCTTTTGTCTCACAGGTGCGTCTTCTGGCGGCCGAGTCTTGGCTAGGAGCGCTTCGCCGATAAACCACATGGGGCTTGTTGTGCTCATCTTCATATTCTTGGCCATCCAGGAGCAGCAGGGGTTCTATAAAATAGTCCCCATCATGAGACCGGAACGTGCCCAGCTGAGAAGAAACGGAGAGAGAAGTGCTCTATTTCACCTCAGTCCACAGCCAACAAAGAGCCAACAACAGTCACACACAATCACTCACACACACACACACACACACACACACACACACACACACACACACACACACACACCCCTTTCTTGAAGCTCAGCTATATAGAGAGCTATTAGCAATCAAGAATTTTAGAACCCCAAAGCATTAGATAAAGAGTGTCTTGCATCAAAGGCAACCTGGGACCAGAGGGTCAGAAATGAGATAAAAAAAGGTAGGTTTGGTGCTGAATTTTTTGCTGGGTAGCACTGAGAATTGGTCCCACTGTTTTGGAAAACTCTTTGGAATTATTCATGAAAAATTACAAAACTATTCATAGCCTTTGACCTGGTCGGTCTTCCTACTAGAATTGTACCTTATGGAGATTACTGATGGCAATAAAAGCCATCTATACAAAAACTGTCCTAGCAGCATATTAGGTAATACTAAAAGAGTCTGGAAGCAAACTGTGCCCCCAACCATTAAGGAATGGCAGAACCAACTATGGTATATCAGTGCAATGGAATATTAGGATGCCTGGCAGCTGGTGGCATAATCCATAGAGTACCAAACCTGGAGTTGAGAAGAACTTAAAATCAGATATGACTGAAAAAACAACTGAAAACAAACAAATGAAAATGGTATAATAGTAGCATCTACCTTGCTGAGTTGTTTTGAGGTTCAAATAAAATAGTATTTGGAAAAATGCTTAGCATAGTACCTGGCACATAACAGGTACAATATAAATGTTATTCCCTTCCCCCTTTCCTAAGGAATAACAATTATGTTTTTTTTCTTTTTTTACGGAATAACAATTATGAATAAATTTTCTAGAACAAAACATCCTTTCTGAGCTGCTCCTAGTATGTTCTGTCATCCCCTATTGCCAGGGTTCTTAAACCATGGACCTCCAATTTTGGGAGAGATCTGTAAATTTAAATAGAAAAATACATCTTTACTTTTCAATAAACTCAAACTTAAATTCAGCATTTCCTTCAACTGTGGATTAAAAAAATATATTCTGAGATGTCCATAGGCTTTATCAGACTACCAAAGGGATCCATGACACATACATATACTCATAAAAAATTTTTTAAAAAAAGTTTAAAACCCTCACCCTATTAGAATGTAAGATCCTCAACAGCAGGGACTGCTTTCATTTTGCATTTCTATCCACAGTGCTTAGTATAGTACCTGTCATAAAATAAGCACCCACTAAATGCTTTCATTCATTCATTCATTCATTCATTCATTCATTCATTCATTCATCCATTCACAGTTTGGTGGAAAGAATGTTGGATTTAGAGGCAGAAAACCTACATTCAAATCCTGGCTCTTCCAGTTAACAGCTTTTTTATCTTGGAACAATTAAGTTTAGTCAAAGGACATAGGTTTAAATCCTAGTTTTCCTCAGTCTTTTCCATATCACAATCAAAGTGAGCATTCTCCCACTCAATACAGGACTGCAAAGTTGTAAATGAGGACAATTTAAAACAGGAAAAAAAAACCGGATCAAATAATAAAAAAAATTTGACACGTAAATTGTGTTTTCAGGTTTGTAGAATGCTCTACAGCCATTTTCACATCTGAGCCTCCTGATAATCCTATAAAGCAGTTACTTACTGCTGTTATCCCCAATTTACAGATAAGGAAACTGAGGCTTACACAGTTAGTAAGTATCAGAGCTGGGATTTGAACCCAGGCCATCTAGAGCCAGTTCAAACAGTGGAGATCATTAAATTTTTCAGTGTTGAGCATGTAAGCCTCAGAAATTGGTAAAGGTTACAAATCAGGGCTTGACTTGTTTATTATTCTCATTATCTAGACTTTAGAAAGTATGGAGAACATGTTAATGTATATCAAACTTAAAAAGTATGGTGTGCATACAATTTTTTTTTGAAAGCTGGTTGTTAAACATTTACCAGCACACCTTGCTACTCTAGTGCAACATTGTTTCTAATGTATCAAAGTTAGGAAACATCTTTCTTTTAAAAATCAGTCAACTGCTGGAATGTAAAGTTGTCCACTATCAGTAGCAATCTCTCTTTTCTACTGTTTTGCTTTCAAGAGTCAGGAAGTGGACTGCACAGCACAGGGATGGGGGGTGGTGTTGTTATCAGATTATATGCTGTTTCAAAATAGAATAGAAAGGAGAAAGGGCAGAGGAGAGAGAAAGAGGAGAGAAGGAGAGATGTTTAGAGTCACTTAACATTTTGGAGTTCTGAGTAAGGAATTTCATTTTGTCTTAAAGGTGGCAAGTACAGCAATATCCACACACCAAGTTAAAAATACAATTCTCTTCTCCCACCTCTGACACTGTGTGAACCCTCAATAGAGGAAATCTTTCTAAGGCTCAGTTTCCTTAACTCTAAAATGAGGGGTTGGACCATGAACTTCTAAGGTTAATAGGCAGCATTTATATGGTTTGCAAAGCACTTTAAGTTTTATCAGGCTTCGTCCTTACAACAACCTTGGCACAGATTGCTATTACTATCTCCATTTTATGGATGGGAAAACTGAGATTCATAAGTTAAATGACTTACCCAAGTCCACACATTTAGTTCGTATGAGGCAGGATTTAAATTCAAGACTTCCTGAGAGTCTCTATTCACTAATTATACCTAGACTATACCTTGTAAAAGTGAGTCATACATATGGAGTCCGTAACTTGGTGTTTCATAAGAAAGAATAATTGCATGCTTTCTATTTTTGAAATTGGAATTTGGGGTAAGGGAAATGTGCACCGATTTACAAGGTAGATTTTAACATGTCCATTTTAACATGATTCTACTCTTACTTTTTCCAGGGGAGAAGGGGGAACAGAAGGAGGGAGGGAAAGAGGGGGAGAGGGGGAGAGGGGGAGAGGAAGAGGGGGAGAGGGAGAGGGAGAGGGAGAGGGAGGGAGGGAGAGAGAGAGAGAGAGAGAGGGGGGGGGGGGGACTAGCAGTTGTCAGGCACCAGAGAAAACTCATCCTCCATGTGTCCCCCAGAGGAGTGAATCTGTGATAAGATGCACTCACATCCTTACATGCTGACTGACACACTGCCAATACCAGCCCATCTCCATCATGCCATCAAGGCCAGTTTCAATATATGAAGTGACAGTTCCTAGGAAAAAGGGTAGGCTAACCAGGCTTGTGGGCAACTACTTAAAATGACAAATACTAATTAGTACCCAATACTCCACAATGCACTAAGTACTGGGGGAGATAAAAATATTAATAACACAAGGTCCCTGTCTTCAAGGCTGAAGAGCTTAGAATGTTAAGAGCAGGGCTTATGACCTATCTCATTCGACCCTTATCCTCTACTAATTATAGGAAACCAGATCTATAGCAGGAAGGTTCCTTAAAGACCATCTAGTTCAACCTCTTCCTTTAATAAATGAAAAAACTGAGGCCAAAGAAGACCAAATAATATGGCTAATGTCCCATGGGCAGAAGTAAGAATCAAAGGAAGGATCTGACCCTACATCTTTGGATTCCAGAGTTAAGGCTCTTTCTGAAGTACCCAGAATTCAAGGTCCCATGTTTACATCCTGGGTCTGCCTTTTCCTAGCTGTGTGATCTTGGGTAAAGTAACTTAATGTTTCTGGTCTTTAAAAAGCTGCAAATCACCACACACACACACACACACATCACAACTGAGCTTCACAAAAAACCAGAGACACAGGTATTGCAGTTATTATTATGCCAATCTTACAGATAAGGAAATGGAAACTCTAATGATTTAGTTATGATCACAGGTAGCTAGCCAGTAACACAAACAGATCTGAACCCACTTCTTCCTGACTCCACATCAAATAGTCCTTCCTCTGGGCCAAGCTTCCTTGGGGGGCAGCTTTTTTCTTTCTTCCACTCCAGTGTCTCTGCATCTTTTTTGGGGGGGGGTAACCACAGGACAACATACTCAGATCAAAAATGGACCTTTGAGATCATCTATGTCTACCCCTTCCATTTTCCAGATGTGAAAAATGAGGCCAAGAGAGCTCAGTGACTTAGCTTTATCATGGTCAGAGCCTCCACATTGCCAGTATATCAGTCTTTCCTTTCTTTCACTTGGAGGAGGGAGAAGTTACATAATGATGGATTTTTAGGCTGGAAAGGACTTCAGAGATCGTCTACACTAACCCTTCGTTTTAAAGATGAGGAAAATGAGAACCAGAGAAGTTAAATAACAAAATCACATAAGTAATAAGTGAAGAGGCAAGGTGAAAAGTCTGGATTGAAAGGGACTGAATTCAAAATCTGCCTGCCTGTCACCTCCTACCTGTGTGGCCTTGGAAAAGTCACTTCACTCTTCTGGGGTTCAGTTTCTACATCTGAAAATAAGAGGAGGCTGAACTGGATGACCTCAAAAATGCCTTCCTGTGTGATCCTATGATTGCTAGGCTGTTCAAAGGCTAAACAGCCTTCTTAGTGGTGCCCAAAGGTGGAGTCCCACTATTGTTCTAGCCCTTTTCCTTTTATCTGCAGGTCAAGAAGACAAGATACCAAATTGCTGTCACTGGAGTCTACCTCTTATCTTAGGGTTAGAAACCGAGATGGACTGGGGGCAGGGCAGCCTCCAACTTTAACTTTCTGATCATTTATTAAACATAGACCTTTGTTTCTGAGGCAGTTTGGGGTCATCAAAGGAGCTCTGAAATCTGGCCAGGGCAATCAGGGCCCAGATCATTGTTCATCTTCACTTTCTGCCGGAAAGACATCTTGATAAGCAAGTTCTACATTGTTCACAATGAGATCAACAAGCATGTATTAAGGCCGACAATGTGCCAAGCACTGTGCTGAGTGCTGGGGTTACAAAGAATGATAATAATTGTCCCTGCCCTCAGGTAGCTTATATGTAACTGATCACAATTTAGACCTATCATATTTACTTCCATTCAGTCAGCATTCAAATGCTTAGTATGTACCAGGAACTTCCAAAAGGTTGTGAGCTTACAAGTAAAACATAACAGAATGCAAGCTTTTTGGAGATAGGTTTTTGTTTTGTTTTGTTTTGTTTTTTTTCCTTTTCTCCTCTGAATCCTATCACTGAGTCCAACACCTGTAGCACATATATTAGGTACTGAGTATTTGGTGTATTTAATTGAATAACAGAGAAGTCAAACAATCAAGGTCAAAACAATCCCCCCAAAGGTCTTTCCCCACTTCCCCCCACCAATCAAGGAAACCACTACCAGACACTAGTGGAGAGCCTTACATTTGGACCTTTCTTAAGTCTCTTAAAGGCATCCTTGGGATTCATCCCGGAGGGGGAGGAGTGTTTAGGACGTTTACAATTTGGGCATTTAAACCCTCAATTCCCTCCCCCATCGTCCTGGGATCCAGGTAGAACCCCTGCCGAGGCTTTCAGGGGGGTCTGGAAGAGTTCGGGACACCGCCTAGCCTTGACTTCCCACCTTCTCCCCACAGCATCCTCTCCCTGGGCACCACCAACAGCGGCTGATCTTTTGCCCTCTGGCTGGGGGCGGGATGATTCACCGCACCCCCCTCAGCGCCCAAGTCCCGTCTCCGCCCACCCAAACACAATCACAACAACTCTACGCGTCTGGCAGCTGCTACTGCAGGCGTTCTCTCCTCGACTTAGGAAAGGGGACCTAGCCGTCCGGGGGCTTTGCCCCTGCTTTCAGCAAGATGGGACGTCGATGCACCAACCCTGCGTCAAACTCGCAGGGCCCCCGATGCTGCCCACATCTGGACACCTGGGTTACTCTCCACCCCAGGAAGGAGGGATTGAGTACCTGCGGGGCAGGGGTAAGTTGAAGGAAACCCCTCCAGGAGAAAAGGGAAGGGGCGGAGGGAAGGGGGTCAAGTAAGCTACTCTACGTTAGCAGAACTGTCCCTTGGGGGAGGGTCTGAGACCCTACCTAACCCACCGCCCAGTACAATTGGAAAACGCCACCCAAAAAACTTTCTGCGTCACTAAGTGCGTTGCAAAAATACAAACTCTCCTGGGATGCTAAGACTATCCGTTCCTACCCTATCCCGAAATCTCTTCGACCCTTCCCGAGTGGACAGCACCTTCCCCCTCCCACGAGGTTATACACCGAAGGCTGTAGGTCGGGGGGCAAAGTACCCCAGCAAATGCGCAACTGCCGCCTGCCGTGGGAGACGGCAGTCCCTTCCTCCTCCCCAAATGAAACTTGAGACGCCAGCTCCCCCTCCCGGTCCTGCCTCCCTCCCCCCCCCCCCCCACCCCAACCCATCTCTGTTGGGTGTCCAGTCCCCCGAAGGAACTCGGTGAAACCGCGCCCCCAGCCCTCCCCCACTGGCCTCCCTGGCCACTCTACCCAGAGCCTGGCCGACAGGGCGCAGGGTGCCCCCTGGCAGACTGTGGGGGCTGTTCCATTGCCTCCACCTTAATTAAACGTGTCCGGGACGGGCTCCTCCTCTTGGCCCCGGGCAAGCCCCTTCCCGCTCCGCCCCCAACTCCCCGCCCCCCTCTTACTCCTTGGGTCCCTCCCGCTCTGAATCCATCAATCCTCCCTTGGGTTCCGTGAGTGATGGTCGGTTACGTCGTCGGTCCAACTAATCTAAAAAGAACTGGGTCCCTTCCTGAGAGGAAAGACCGCACAAACCCTCTGTCTCTCTCTCCCTTTTCCCTTCCCCTCCCTCCAGTTCAGTCCCGTCCGGTCCCAAGAAGTTCTCTCTCTCTCCCAGCTACTGGGAATGGAGCCCTCTGCCTCCTTCACAGCCTGGAGACGATGCCTGACCACCAATAAAGCCGCGGGTCCGCCCCTTCCCTCAACTTCTCCCTCTGGTGATAACCACCCAAACAACTCCACATGGATTTCACTTTACTGGACGCTCCCAGGCAGAATTACAGTGCTAGGCAGAAGTAAATCGAGCTGCATCTGTCGATAAGTCTGCATCTAAACAACATCGAAACAAATCTAGTGTCCTGTATGCTCCTTGAGGGCAGGGGGTATCTGTCATAGATATTATTATTCCTCATCTCTCTGTCCTCCGGAATCCTAAGATTATCTCCAATTTGTCCTGTCTTTATCTTGTTTGTACACAGCTGTATGTTGTTTCCCTCATTAGACGGCGAGTCCCCTGAGGGGAGGGACTGTCTTTTGCCTTTCTTTGTATCCCCAGCACTTAACACTGTGTCTGGCACATAGTAGGCCCTTAGCAAGTGCTGGTTGATTTGCACATAGTAGGATATACAAACATACATACATACATATGTATACACACACATATATATGTATTTGTTGTTGTTGTTCAATTGTGATAGACTGCCTAGTGATGTGACAAGGGATGGATGCCTGTCCAGGAAGTTTTAAAGGCACCCCCTCCAGCACCCAGAACGTGGGGTTACAAAGATCAGAGGGCAATTAAGACGTCAGTAAACGGGGAGGGAGGCCTGGAGGAAAGGAAGGGAGCACTTACCATTCCTGAACAGAGGCTTATTACAGCTGTGTGCTCGGACTTGGTATTGACATGTCCTCTATAGAAACAGTGCTTGAGCTCAGAGTCCTCTTCGGCATAAAACTTTGTTTGGTTAACCCCGGGTTCTCCGAGGAGGGTGACAGTGAAAAGTGGGGCGATAAATCCGGCATGGGCTGTGAGATTAAATAGAAACTGCTGCCCGAAAGCGGAGAGTCGATAGTGAGCCTGGGAAGAGGAAGAGGTAGAGAAAGAGGAGGAGGTGGTTGCTGCGGGCCAGGGGTCAGTGTCAGAATTAATACTCCTTCGTCTTCTTTTGAAGTGCATGTTCGTGGGAAAAGCTTCTCCCAGGGCATTCACTCGGGTGGGAGACACGATCTCGTATTCACCAAGACTCTCCAACAGTTTAACTGCAAAGCAAGGCAGACAAATGCACAATTCAAGTTTCCTCCGAGCTTGATTAAAGGGAAGGCGGGAGGAAAGGAGGGAGAGAAGGGAGTTGGGGGGGGGGGCCAGCATTGCCCCGGCTTATCTCAATAGAGTTCTTCCTGCCTGTCAAAATCCGCCCCGCTGCCCTCCACCTTCTACCGTGGGGCTGGGAGCAGCTAGGTAGCTTTGGGGCGGGAGATCAGGTTAAACCTCGGCCTGGCCGGGTAAGGGGCGGTGGGGGTGGGGGGTGGCCTGCGAGGGGGAATTAGAAAGCCGGCTCTAAAGTGTCATTCACTAGCCATTAGCTGCAAAATACAAAAGGCGAGTTACAGATACAGCGAGGCGGGAGGGGGAGGCTTCTTTCGAGGAAACACACAAGCCATCGGGTCCTGCTGCCCTGCGGGAGTCCGAGCCGGGCGGGCGCTGGGAGGATCGGGGGATGGGGGGTCCTGGAGGCCAGGGGCAAACTCGGACACATGGGTGATGGGTACTCATTACCTTGTCGCGGGTGCAGTTTCGTTTTCGAGAGCGCTGCAGCCTGCAGGGTCATCTCCAATAGATCCCACACGAGTAACATGAGTAGTAATCCCACTGCCCAGGATACAAACTGCATGGTGCTCCCCCCACCCCTCCCCCGCGGCCCCCACCCCCGCTCTCCTCTTCTCGGCGGCGGCGGCGGCGGCGGCGATCCTCGGGCACGGCTCGGTTAGGCTCCGCCTGCGTGTGCGCGACCCGCTGCTCCGAGAAGGGGCCAGGAGAAGGGACCGGGAGCGAGCGAGCCGGGAGAGCGAGCGAGCGAGCGGGCTGGCGGGCGAGCTCGGGGCTTCCGGAGGGCTCCCCCGCTTAGGAGGCGCTCCACGCCGGGGCCGAGGGTCCCGTCGGAGGTGCAACGAACGGCCCCGCCTGCGCGGAGAACTGGAGCAGCGGCACGAGCGGCGAGAAGCGGGCGCGCCTCCCCGGCAGCACCGGCATAATGGAGCAGCCGCAGCGGCCGGCTGAAGGAGTGCGGGTGCGGGGGCGCTCGGGGCTCTCGGGGCGCACGCCGCCGCCGGGGCGCTTGGAGCCCACCGAGCCGCGCTGCTGCCGCCGCCGCTGCTGCTGTTGCTGCTGCCGCACGGAGCGGGGGGCGTTGGGGGTGGCCGGCTTGGCCCGCGGGAACACGGCCGCTCAAATAGCCCCGGTGCACGCCTCTTGGAGGAGGGCAGCGGAGCTGAGGGGAGGGGAATGCGAGAGCCCAGGGACCCGCCTCCTTTTGAGACCTTGGCCCTCGGCTGCTGGTCAAGACCCCGAGCAGCTGAGCCGAGGCGAGCCGCAGCGCTAGTGTTAGCTAACTAACCCCCAAGGACGCTTCCTTAGGTGGAGGGGGCGCCCGCAGTTAGCTAGCGGGAGGAGGGATCAGGGGCTTGGTTTCCCCTTCGGCTTTCCTTTTTAAGAGCGAGGAGTCTCACAGAAGGTGGAGAAGCGATTGGCTGGTCGCGGCTGTGCCCGGCTACTCCCAAAGTTTGTTCTCTCTGATTTTAACTGGAAAATGGAAAGGGACGAAAGTGACTGTGCTCTCCAACCCAGCCACCACTTTCCATCAACATACAAACGATCCTTTTTTAGTGGAAGCCATCGTGAAGGGACATCTCTTTCAGTTCCTTCCCACCACGGGCTTGGTGACAAAAAAGTTAACTGCCTGGACCAAGTTTTAACTCAGTCTTGGAGAACAGCGGACAATTTCCAGGGCAGAGCTGGGGGCTGGCGGAGACTTTAGAAGAAGGGGCTGTTTTGACGCCTTTTTCTGCGGTTAATTACATTGCAGCGGGGGGGGGGGGGGGGGCCCCCCCGGGGCGTTGTGGGGGGGGGGGGGGGGGGGGGGGGGGGGGGGGGGGGAGACGCACCCCGGGCGCTTAGAGATGAGGGGCTTGGGGAGGGCTGGATATGGAGTGGCTGCCCCCCTCTCCCGATTTCTCAATCCCGTTCTTAGCTGTGATTGTTGCCAAAGACAGATGCTTAAAAGAGATCATAGCTGTAAATTACACTTTAAGTTTTTAATTTGTGAAGTTTACAGCAAGGGGAAGGGAAGGGAGGAGAGGGGAAAGAAATAAAGAGCAAGAAAGAAGGGGGAAAGGAAAGCGACAAAGAAGAGCTCACGTCAATTGCTACATTGTAACAAGTCTTTGACACAGTTACAAATAAGCCATGGACTGAGGAAAGTTTTGTTGAGATTTTTTCGGTCAGTGAAACTTGACATAGGATGGACTATTTATGCCTAAGTAAGAATACCCAGAGTCACTAAGCTCAACTACCCGAGTTTGACTGAAAAGCTAATGGCCATTTTGTAAGCTGCCCTTTGGCTGAGTGAATTGTATTAGAGGTGGGCGCTTGCTTTCTTCTGTTTTGGTGACAGAGAATATTGTGGAAGCCCTGATATTTCTAAACAGCACAGTTTATACAACGACATATTTTAGGCTACCAGGTCCTCTTGTCTAACTATTCCGGAAGTTTCTTAATGGAGAAGCTGTTTCCAATAAGAGAGATATGGATTTGATCTGTGATTTTCCTTCTACTCATACTTTATCTGCCATTGCATAGAGCACAGAAAGGTTAAGTTACTCACCCGGGGTCACACAGTCAGTCTGTATCAGAGGCAGAAGTGGAACACAGATCTTCAAGCTCCAGCTACTATTCCATGTTGCCTTCCCACCCCCCCCATAAAGTAACTGATAATATATAATGGAACAGATATAAACATCATCTAGAAGAAGCGATTTCACTGCAGTTCACACAATTCACATTACTGAATCCTTATGTAAAATGCTAATTTCAATACCAATAGTATCAAAACAATTTTGATAGTAATAATTGATAGTACTATTTTGATAATAATAATTAGGCACCTAAGGTAAGAGCTTTAGAGCTAGCTGTCATTTCATCCAAGCCCCTCATTTTACAGATGTGGAAGCTCAGGGAATTTTAGAGAGTGATTTGATCAGTCACACAGTTAATGACAGAGCCAAGATTTGAACTTAGTTCTTGGGACTTCAAAGTCACTGATCTTTTCTCCTATATGTCAGTCAACTTGCATTAATTAAGCACCCACTGTGTACCTACCAGGCACTGAACTAAGTGCAGCGGCATAGGATGAAAAGGAAAGAACAAACAATACTTGCTCTCCAGTAGTTCACTAATAGAAGAGATCACATACAATCACATACAAACAAGACATAGACAAGATCAATCTGGGGGTCACATGGCAAAGGCGGTAAGATCAAGTAGAACCTGGAAAGGTTCCTTTCCTACCACACCCCCTTATCTTATTAGGCATATATGCCATTTTATATAAAGGTATATGTAATGAGAGCCAACCTAAGCCATCCTGTTTCTGACCCATCCTGACCCTGTGGCCTAGATCAGTAACTACCTTCTCATTTCCCCAGGCGTCTCTCTATGAATATAAATTGCTGAGCAGTTGTGGGTTGGTAGGAAAAGTTTCCAGACCCACGTTCCCCACGCCAATGAGATCACAAGTCCAGTCTAATATATGTGTGTATAAGTGTGCATGTATATGTATACATAGATACATATGTGTGTATATGTATACATAGATACATGTACACACATATAAGTGTATGTTTATATACACATATACGTGTATGTTTATATACACATATACATATGTGTGTAATCTAATAAATTGTATATATTAAAAGTTTCCCAAGGTTGTTTGAAGAGAATAATTGGGAAATATTAGGACAATGAAATTATTTTCATATTATTATTGCAAGACCACCATTGAAATGTTCTTTATATATGTGTATATATATGCACACACACATATATACATATACATATATATATTTAAAGATTTGTTCCTTCCCAGTTGTTTAAAGACCTGTGGATTGTAAGTGGTTAACACTTCAGATATATTAAACAAATCATTATTTAGGAATAAAAGATCCTCTTTGATGAACTTATGATTTCAGAGATATTAGAGATTAGAGCTGGAAGGGACGTTAGAGGTTGTTTAGGCCAAGGTCATTTTATAGAAGAGGAAATAGATTCAGAGAAGTTTAGCAATTCACCCAAGCTCACACAGGGCAGATTTTAAGGAAGTAGGTTGGAATTCAAACTCATGTCCTCTAGTATTAGAGCCCAGCACTCTTCTCAGGGCTCCATAGGATCCCTGTTTCTCGACTACCTTCACAGGACTTGACTTTAAGGAGGATATCATCTCCAGCAGATCAGTTCTTCCAATTTTCTTTCTTTGGAAGAACACTCAGTCATTCCCTCAATAGATGGCAGAGATCTTCTGATGACTAGACCTCCAACCTAAAAACTGCTACTTGGGAAGGAGGGTGGTCTTAAGCATTAGTAAATAGGAATCCCACACAAAACCCTTCTACTGTTGGTTTATCTATAGGATGAACATGGGGCAAATGTGTCACATAATCTTTTGAAGACTAGATCTTTAGACAAAGTGAAATAGAGAATTGAGCCAATTGACTAAGCCTTGCCCCCATCCCTCACATATTGGCTTCAAGAAAACAGATAACTGAGGCTAAAGTTGTTGGGTATCTGGGTTGTTGGCTTTTATTTTTTTCCCTTTTTGCTTGAATTACCTGGATAATTGTCTTAATCCCATTCAGCATGGGCTTTTTCCCCCATTTTTTTTTAAGATGGTGAAGGTGTACTATTCTGTTGGCGGTCCAGTGTTGACTCTTCCTTGAACTCTTCCTTTGCCTTTCCTCTGTGGATGCTAAAGCACCACCTTTGTCAAAACCCAAGACTGTTTGATTATAGATATTATAGGCATAAACAGGTAGATAGAATTACCCAGAATCCGGAAATGAAAGATCAATTTTTCAAGTCAATTGTCTCCTTCTAAATATTTGCTGCAAAGGAGCTGAGCCATTTGAGGTCAACTGAAGTCGATGGATGGCTAGCTCCAACAAATTGTCCACTGAGGTTTCTTTTAAACCTAACCTTTTTCATAGGCAAGGTTCTTTCCCTAGGGAAAGAGGTGAGGATTAAACAGAAGGGGAGATAATGCAGTTAATGATATTAAGAAGACTTCTCAAAACTATCGTTTGACAAAGTTAAATTTCCAGAGAGCTACTGTATGTAAAAAAAAAAAAAAAGGGAGATTGGGGGGCTGTTCCTTTGTTTCCTCGGGGGGGGGGGGGGGGGGAGAGGAGAGGAGGTTGACCCTAGAGAAGAATGGGAACATTGATAGAAACTGGGAGAAGCAAGGAGGGAAACTAATGCTAATAATTTCCTTCAGTGTCAGGCAGTTGAAGATTTTTGGAAATGAGTAATCCTATTCTGATGCATGACAGTTAGGGTTGGGTGGAAGCGTTGGGTGAGGAATGTCAGTCAGCAGAGTGGGGCTTTATTTTCTGGGTGACCCTGAGGAGGCACTAACCTTTCTGTCCTTAGTTCCTTATTTGCAAGAAGGGAACGGACTGTTCCCATAATTACCATATGAGGAAATTATTTGAGGTTAAAAAGTGTATAAAACAATATGTTTGATAGTTAAATGGTCTATATATAACATGACACTTTCCTTTCTGTGTCAGTTCCCTTATAAGAAAACCAAATTCAAAGATGTCATCAAATTGGGGAATTCTG